AACCATCACTACACTCAATTTTAGGACATTTCCATCAACTCTCAAAAAACCCCCGTCCCCATCAGCAGTGACTCCCCACCCCCTCCCCAGCCCCTGGAGACCACGAATCCACGTCCCGTCTCTGTGGATCTGCCTGTTCTGGACATTTTATATAAACGGAGTCTCACACTGTGTGTCCTTCTGTGTCTGGCCTCTCTCACTGAGCAAGATGTCCTCAAGGTCCATCCACACTGTGACCTGTGTCAGAGCCTCGTCCCTTTTCATGGCCGAGTGATGGTCCAGTGCATGGATGGGCCACATGTGTTTATTCACCCATCTGTACGTGGACATTTGACTTGTCCACTCTAGCTTTTAGTTACCCTATTCCTCTCTTCCCCGCCTTTTTTTTTTTTTTTTTTGAGACAGAGTTTCACTCTGTTGCCCAGGCTGGAGTGCAGTGGTGTTGTAACAGCTCACTGCAGCCTCCAACTTCTGGGCTGAAGCGATCCTCCTGCCTCAGCCTCCCAGAGTGTTGGGATTACAGGTGCGCCACCGCACCCGGCCTTCTTGTTTTTAAGAAATGACAGCCCAAGCTGGGCAAGGTAGCTCATGCCTGTAACCTTAGTACTTTGGGAGGCTGATGCAGGATCGCTTGAGGCCAGAAGTTCAAAACCCGCTTGGGAAACATACTACAAAAAATATAAAAATTAGGCAGGCCTGAAATCCTGAAATCCTCGAGGCCCCACGGGCTTTAGAATTGAGCGCTTTTCACATTTGGGGAAAGTAATAAATGCAGTGTGTATAGGTCAGGGCAGGTAGACTATGCTGCGTAACAAACACGCCCGCGTCTCAGCGGCTCGCAACAGCGGCTCGTTGCTGCTTGCTCTTGCTACACGTGGGGCCTGGACTGGCTGAGGGCTTCTTCTCCACAATGCCCAGGCCCCAGGCTGTGGGAGCAGCTGTTGTGTGGAAAACCTCCAGCCTCCGGGCAGAGGGAAGAGAGGGCAGTGAAGCACTTCACCCCAGGCTCTGCGGGCCATGCCCATTCCCGTTTCATTGGCCAAAGGAGGTCACGTGGCCATGGCTGCATCCGATGGGGTGGAAAGGTTCCTGAGCCACTTGCATGGGAGGTAGCGGGACTGTTTAAGAACAGCTCCAAGGACTCTGCATGGGGGGGGGGGTTATCACCAAGGCTCCCATGGGATCTCGGGGACACATTCCCTAACTGGCAGTTTTCTCAATCTCTGTGCTCACCGGGAGCCAGAGTGTTCTCTGTTGTGGGGACCAGGCATGGCCTCCACCCACTAGATGCCAACTGCAGCCCCACCCCCAGCTGTGACAACCAGAACTGTCCCCAGGGAGCAGGACCCATCGCCCCAGCTGAGAACCACCGCGCTGTAGCCAAACGTGGACAATCAGCTCGTGCTGACTTTGCCTCCAACTTTTGGTTTTGGGCTCTTGTGGCTGTAGAGAAGCAGCCACGGACCCGCGGTTCTCCTGCTGAACCCGCTCCACAGAGAGGCAGATGGGCTGCCCCGGGGCCGTGAATGCAGGAATCAGGGGAGCGGGGAGGGGAACCCACAGCCGGGCTCTTAGCTGTACCACTGAACCCCTTCTCCCAAATAGGAGCTGGGGGAGGATGAGGGTGTGGGGTGGGCCAGGCTGGAGGGCAGGGAAACGGGGGCTGGCGGGGCAGACTTTAACCCGTGCCTGTCGCTGACGGTCGTGCAGGTTCGAGGGCAGGACAATTCCTAGAGCTGGTGGCTCCAAACACACTCCACCCCCCACATTCAGGCAACATTCTGTGAGCGCCCGTTCACCCTCCCCCAACACACTCAGGAGAGTCATCACTTGGCAAAAATAATTTAATATTCCATTTGGGCAGTGTCCTGTCCGTCCCTGGCCCCTGCACGTGGCCCATGCCACTAAAGGACCACCTCCCCGCCTCTGCCCAGGCCCCCAGAACCTGTACCCCTTCCCTGCTCTGCCCTGGGGTTCCCCGAAAACCCTCCTTCCCAAGACAGCCCGTCGTGAGCTGGATGCCCCAAACCCTTTCCCGAAGTCTCACCCCTGTGCCTGGAAACGTCCACACCGCAGCCCTGTGCTGGGCCCCAGGGCAGCTTCCAAGAGACTCGGGGAGTCCAGGTGAGAAGCAGCCGTGCAGTCCCGGATGGGGGACAGCGCGGGGGGTGGGGGGGGCGCAGGTCAAGTGCACCCAGGGGGAGTCGAGAAACCAGACCTGAGTTACACGAACCCAGTTTAGACGCCGAGTGCTGCGGGGAGAGGCGGCCCTGCAGGGTCCTGGGGAGCCCAGCCAGGCCGCCGGGCGGGGCGGGGCGGGTCTAGCAGGCGGCGCGGCGCAGCTGCTCCAGCCCGTCGGCGTACTGGAAGGCCGCCGCGTTCTCGTGCTCGTACATGTCCAGCGCCACCTCGCAGCTCTCGCGCACCACGCGCTCGGGGTCGGCCGCGTGGGCCCGCAGCGCCGCCAGGCAGGCGGGCCGGGCGATGGCGCCCAGGGCCTCGGCGCACTCGTGCCGCACCATGGGGCTCTCGGCGGGGCGGGCCAGGGCGGCCGCCAGCTGGGGCACGGCCGCCTCGTGCTGCAGCTGGCCCAGGACGTAGCCCACCTCGTGGCGGAAGAGGGCGCTGCCACAGCGCAGGCCTGCGGGCGGGAGGCGGCGGTCACTCTCTGGGCAGGGCCATCGGCGTGGGGCCGGGGCCGGGACACCCAGAGGAGAGAAGGAACGACAGAGCCAGGGCCGAGACAGGTAGAAAGGGGCTCGTCTGCGGACACCACAGCCCCAGCGGGGTGGTCAGGACGCTTGGGGGAGCTGACCCAGAGCTACAGAGGCCGGAGCAGCCGGGGAGAGTTCTGGAGGCCTAGTCTCGCTCTGTCGCCCAGGCTGCAGCGCAGTGGCGCGATCACAGCTCACTGCAGCCTCCAACTCCTGGGCTCAAGCAAGCCTCCCGCCTCGGCCTCCCAAACTGCTGGGATCAGTGTGAGCCACCGCGCCCGCCCCTTGCGCGGGTCCTTAATAGTCCCATGGGAAGTGCTCGGGGCCAGGCCTGGTCCAGCGCACAGATGCGGCCACTGAGACTCACACGGGGGGCGCTGGGCGGGACCCCGCCCGCCTCACCTTCAGCCAGCGCCAGCGCGGCCTCCTGGCCCCCAGCGTCGCGCAGCGCGAACATGGCCCGGTAGCGCTCGAACAGCGGCTGGGACTCGTCCAATAGCACGGCTCGCAGACGCCCCACGTCGCGCTCCTCCGCCGGCGGCGCTGGGTCTACTGAGAGGTAGGGCCCTGTCACGGGCTCCCCGCGGTGCTGCTGCAGCCACTCGAGCCGCTGCACGGCCAGCTGGCAGGTCTCAGCCACCTGCAGGGAGAGGAGGCGCTGGGGCAGCTGGCGGTCCTGGGGGGATTGGATGGGGCCATTCCCACCCTCCGGGGCTGGGGGTTTAGCAGAGGCAACAGAACTAAACCAGCAGGGTGACAAGGACGACAGACACAGGGCCAGGGAGGACCTCAATGAGGAGGTGACGTCAAGGCAGAGACCTGAACCAAGCCAGCCAAGGAGTCAGGTGAAGACCTGGGGGAGGAGGACGCACCCCGTGCAAAGGCCCTGAGGCAGGGAGAGGGGTGGGGGCTGCGTTACCTCAACCACAGGGTCCGTGGAATATTCCTTCAGCAGCTCCAGGACTTCCGGGTTCCCAATGGCTCCTAGGGCCTCCCCTGGGAAGAAGCAGCCAGATAGCGTGTGGTGGGCAGGTGGGCGGGACATGTCACACTACCTGGGGGAGCCACTGACCCCCTGACACCCCTCTGACTCTGCCTGTGTGGGGTGGTCCCGCCTCTGGCCACGGCTGATTGGAGCTGCGGCGGGTACAGGCTCCAGGCCCAGCCAATCAGTCCCTCCCCGAGAGTGGGGACCTGCCTGGAACCATGCAGGCTGCAGCAGAGAGCAAAGCAGCCCCTGCCCCTGAGACCCTGAGACCAGTGTGTCGTTACAGCCCCGGAACACAGCTAACAAGGAGTTCCAAGAACATTAGGAATAGTGGAGCCCTCAGGAACAGCCCCCTGCAAGAGGAGATTTTACGCTGTGATGGGGGAGGAGGCTGGGCAGACCAAGGCAGGACGTGGGTGCAGCGGGCAGTGGCAGGTGTGTGCGGAGACCAGGCCTGGGCAGGGGCCCAAGCTGGGGGCTGCTCTCTCTCTGCGGAGCCTGGATGCAGGTGCGAGCTTTGCATTTTCTCGAAATAGAGCCCAAAGCCCCGCCTGTGGAGCAGGTGAGACGGTGGCCTTGTCCTTTCCTGTAGAAGGCTACGCAGGTGTGCGCCTGCCTCCCTCCCTCCGCCTGGGCAGAATCCCGTGTGCGCCAGCACGACCTCCGGGTCAGGAGCCCGTCACTGGCTCATTGCAAAGCAACGCTCTGGTTACAGACACACAGTCCCAGCCACACCGACACGCCGACCATCGGACTCATTTCTGTATTTATTCTATTATAATTATTGTTATTATTATTTTTAGTAGAGATGGGGTCGCTCTTGCTCAGGCTGGTCTCGAACTCCTGACCTCCATGGATCCTCCTGCCTCTGCCTCCCAAAGTGCTGGGATTACAGGCGTGAGCCACCGCACCCAGCCTTAAATGTTTTTTTTTTTTTAAATCAAAGGAATAATACTTCCTGACAAGTGACAATGGTAAGAACTTCAAATCTCCGTGCTTACAAGTGGTTGCTGTGGGTCACCACCACGGCCGTGTGTTGGCGGAGGGCTTACGGGGGACCTTTGGGTCACTGTCCAGCCCGCAGAGCTAAAGCTATTTACTGTCCAGGGCTTTACGGAAAGTTGACCGCCCTGACGTGTGTCACCTGAGTGAGTGAGCACGTGGACGCAAGAGGCAACCAAGAGGAGAGGCAGAAGGGAGTGGGGTGGCCCGGCCACAGATGGGAGGGCGTGAGGCCCCGGCCACTCACCTGCCTCGTGGCGCACCATGGGCTCCTGGCGGGTGTCACGCAGCACGTCCACCAGCACGGGGATGGCGCGGGCGTCCTGCATCTGGCCCAGGCAGTATGCCAGCTCATGCTTGAGCAGGGCGGAATCGTCGCTGAAGGCCTGGCTGATCCAGGAGATGGCACCCAGGCCGCCGAGCCCACGCAGCGTGAACAGCGCCCGGAAGCGGGTCTGCAGGGGCTGCTTGGGGTCCACCAGCGTCCGCCCGATGGCCTCCACCTCCTGCTCTGTCACCATGGCGCCCACCTCCTCCTGCCCGTCGACGGAACACAGTCCTGCTCAGGCTAAATGGAGGGTCTCAGGGCTGTAAGAACCTACAGTAGAAAAACGAGAGGTCAGGTCAGAGGTGTCCTTCACCAGCTCAATGGCATGTTCATAGGACCAGGGTGGGTGGTTTCCTACCCACTGGGCATCTGGTTGAAAGCCCATCTGGGACCCAGCCTACTTGCTGTTCAGCCTTCCCTAAGCTACTTTCCCTCTCTGAGCCTCACGCTTCACACCTGTCTATCAGGAATGCCCTCCACTGTCTGCTCTCCACACAGCAACCCGAGGGATGGCTGGTCCCCGACAGCCTCCGGTGATCCCACCTCCTGGTATTCGTGCCCTTATATAGTCAGTCCCTCCTACTATGAACAGAGCTGACCCCTGTGAACAGTAGGATATGGAAGAAATAACAGAGTGAGACTTCTGCTGTTAGGGCATAAAAGGCAGTGGTTTCCTCCTTGCGCTCTCTCTCGGGGAGCCAGCAGTCATGTTGGGAGGAAGCTCAATCAGCCCTGTGGAGGGGCTGAGGTGGCAAGGAACTGAGGCCTTCTACCAACAGCCACATGAGAGAGGTGGCTTGGGAGCAGCTCCTCCAGCCCCAGGGTGAGCCTTCAGACGATGCGTCCCCAGCCTATGTCTTCACTGCAGCCTTAGAGACCAGAGCCGGAACAAGCCAGCTAACCCAGGCCCAGACTGCCACCCCACAGCAGCTGTGCGAGTAGCATTTACTGGTGTTTAAAGCTGCTAAGTATGGGGTAATTTGTTATGCAGCTTAGATAACTGACTTGGGAATCCTTTTGGAATGTAAACTGGACCCTGTCACTCTCTTGCTTGAAATCCTTCAATGGCTTCTCATTACTGAAAATTCCTCAATAGTCCCAAAAGCCCTTCCCTCCTCCCTCTCTCCCCCTCACTTGTTCTTCTCCAGCCCCAGGGCCTTTGCACTGGCTGTTCTCTCCATAGGGAACATTCTTTCCCCAAATGCACCTGTGGCTCATCCTCTCACTTCCTTTAGTCTGAAATGTCACCTCCTTATAGAAGCTTTCCCTGACCACAATCTGCAATATTACTTTGTCATCTCTTTTCCCTTGTTCACCTTCATTTTTCTTCAGAGCACTAACCACTGCTAGACATTGCACTGGATGTTATTGGTTCAGTTGCTTATAATTTGTCTCATCCCTCAACAGAACAACAGAACCCTGAAGGCAGGGACTGAGTCTCCCCTCCCCACTGCTGTCCTCCCAGCACTTAGCGCAATGACCAGCACACAACAGGTCCTCAATAAAAACAGCATAACAACAACAACATCTGACTTTTATGTAGCATTTGCTATGTGTCAGGCACTCTAACCCTTTTATATTAACTCACTTAATCCTCATCATAACCCTACAAAGTAGGTACTAGGAGTATCCCTGTTTTACAGGCAAGGAAACAAAGGCAGAGTCAGGCTCTAAACCACCAATGCTCTGTTGGGTGGATGAACTAAGATGGAATGACACAGCTAAGGCTAGGAGAAAGGACACCTCTCTGCCCTCTAGACTTGCTGAGGACGTGGTGGATGCTTCATAAACAGGACAGGCAGGCTACGGCATGTCACTAGCCCTCTCCGGTGTCCTGTGGCGTTGGCAGGGCTGCCTGGGTTTAACGAGGGACGTGTAGCTGCCTAAGCACATGTGGTCATCAAAGGAGGGTGACAACTTGAAAGAGGGATCAGCAGAGACCAAAGAAGCCAAGAGTGTGTGAGATGGCAGGGAACTAGGGGCCACGGACACCCGACTCCTTGTTCTACACAGATGAGCAGTGACTTGTCTCAAGAGCACACAGGACCCAGGACTTCTGACTCCCAGTCTGCGCAGGGCCTCCCTCAAGACATCTGAGAAAGGCTCCTCATCCCCAGAGACTTTAAACTCCTGGGGAAAAGGGAAATTTGTGGCCAAGAAGGCAGCTCTAGCTACAGGAAGGAAGTAAAGAGAAGAGAGGCTGTACGGCTCTTGAGTGGGACCCAAATGGTGGCAAATGTCTCTGAGCTTGGTCTCTTCATTTGGAATTAAAGTATTAACAACTTGAGTCTTGGGTTTCCTTCGAGTCTCTGCTCAGTTATTACCCTCTCAGGGTGGCGTTCTCCGACCACTCTGTTCAACAGTGCAAACCCTCCGCTAGCACGCACTTAATAAACTAGAACTAGCATTAAGTATTTCGGCAGAGAGCCCAACACCCACCTCTGTGCTCAGAAGGACGAGGGACGATACATCTACCCACCTCCAAGTCCAAAACTCACACCTCAGGCCCATTTTCCGGTGGGAAGGGGGACAAGAGTGTAGGCCTGGGGTTCAGGGAATCAGCCCCCCACCAAGGCAGTCTGAGAATCCGCTCAACCCTGTGAAAGTCTTAGAGGCAGACAGGAGGAATGGGTAAGTGATGGAAGAGAAGACCTGAATTCTGGAAACCCCTGCCCCTCCTAGAGACCCCTCTAAATCAAGAGTCCCTAAACATCTCCGGATGCGGTAACTAGATCCCGTCCCCAAGAAAGGGGGATCGCCCTGACAAGGGACCCGTCAAGGGGGGCTGTCAGGATCCTCCGGCGATGACCGGCTCCCCAAGACTCCTTGAGAAAGACCCTCAGAAACTATGGCTCAAGATCCTTCTACGTGGATCCCCCAGCACTGAATCAGTCACAGGTTGGCTCTCAAAGTCGCCAAAACTCCGAGAAAGGGGTCGCCTCCGAGAAAGGGGACCCCTCACGTGTTGGCTCCCCCGATCCCCCAGCGAGGGGATGCCCGGAGACAGGCCTCCAGACCCCGGGGGGGAAAGAGGTCGCCAGGACTCGGGACCCCTCAACCCCGACCCCAGCCCCAGCCCACGAATCCCCGAGCCCGGATGCTCCGACGAGGCGGTCTCCCCGCGCCCGCCCGCCAGGCCCGGGCCCCGCACCGTGCTCCCGGCCGCCGGGACGCCCCACCGAGCCTCCGAGACTCAGGACCCGTTGGTTCGGCCAGCTCCGACAGGCGTCACCGCCGCCACGACAGCTTCACCAGGAGCGACCCTCGCAGCGCGCCCTGAGGGCCGCCATCTTCCCGCCCACGTGACCGGCCGGGCGACACCAACGCAGCTCCGGGGGGGATCCAGCAAAAGGCTTCCACGGAGGAGAGAGACTCGGAAGCTTGAGTCGGCACTAGTGCCATAGCTCACACTGCCACATCAGCATCCATCCAGGGATATTCCTCAGGGAACGGAACTGGCAACGTCTTTCCCTTTTTCGGAAAAGATTCTCTCCGACCTCCCCCCCACTACGATCAGTGAAAATGGTTTGTGCCGATTCAGCGGCCGGCTGGCCACAGAGCATGCGCAGAGTCGCGGGCTGGGCGGGGTCAGGCTCAGGGGGCGTGGCCAACCCGAGACAGGGAAGGGAGAAAGAGGAAATGTTGCAGTTGTTCATTCATTCATTCATTCATTCATTTAATAAAACAGCAAACTGTTAATCGGAGAAAGTAGGTGGTGGACATATGACAGTTCACTGTAAAATTCTTTCAACTTTTCTATATATTTGAAAGTTTTCATAATAAGACGTTGGAAAAATAGTTGGCTGGGAAAAGGTGGGTGACTATTCTTCTCAATGTTTAAACGTTTCAAAGTTAAAGATTTGAAAAAGTGTTTTAACTTTTAAATGTAGAGCCTTTGAGTCTGCAGATCCCTTTTGAGGAACATATCTGACGGTAGTGTGAAAAGAAATGAAAACAATACACTCGTTGTAACGTGTTTAGAAATGGTAAAAGAAAAGAAATGCGGTAAAGTCCAGCCCCTCTGCAATTGCCACCAGGTCATTCCTATCATGGCCCCCCCTGGGCCAGCCTTGTCCCCTCTGCCCTGTATCCAGCTCCCACCCTCTTCCCCCCCCACAGTCTGTCCTTCCCAAAGTGGCCACCAGAGGGCGCCCGTGAGCACCAAGTCAGGGCCCGGCCCTCCTGTGCCCACAGCCCTCCATGGCTTCCACCTCCCTCAGGGGCAAAGCCCAAGTCCTCCCTGTAGCCCACCAGGCCCTGCACGATCTGCCCACTCGGCTCCGTCTCTCCCCTCCTCCCGCTCTTCTCCTCCTCTCTCTGCTCCAGCCACACGGGCCTCCTCGCTGTGCCTCCAACACACCAGGTGCAGCCCTGCCCCAGGGCCTTTGCACAGACTCTTCCCTAAACCTGAAACACTCTTCCTCCAAATATCTCTGCTCACTCTCTCACTCAAATGTGTGCTGCTTTGCTCGATGTTACCTCCTCAACGAGGTCTTCCCTGAGAACTCTCATTCAAATTACAACCTCGTGGTCAGCACTTCTTTATCCACTTCTCTGTTTTGTTTTTCTCCATGGCACCTATATTTCACTGTCCATTTAACTTAATTATTTTGTCTATTATCTGTCTTCCCCCACCAGAATGTACGCACCCAGGGCAGAGATTCGTGGATTTTGTCTGCTGTGTTCTGTAGTGTATGTTACCATGGTGCACTGGCCGAGGGCTCTCTGAAAACAACAGCAACTCGCATTGGTAGTGTTTGCCAATTCCTCTGGTGTAAATATTCCCACCACAGGTCACTCATGAAAGCCCTGATAATTAACACTTGGCTATGCTGCCTGTGGTGGTGTGCATCTGTAACCCCACCTCCTTCAGAGGCTGAGGTGGGAGGATCGCTTGAGTCCAAGAGTTCAATTCCAGCCTGGGCAGCATAGCGAGACTTCATCCTTTTTTATTTTTTTTAATTAATTAATTAATTAATTTTTTTGAGACAGGATCTCGCTCTGTCACCCAGGCTAGAGTGCCATGGTGTCATCATAGCTCACTGTAGCCTCCAACTGCTGAGCTCAAGCAATCCTCCTGCCTCAGCCTCCCAAGTAGCTGGGACTGCAGGCATATGCCACCACGCTGGCTAATTTTTTCTGTTTTTAGTAGAGATGGGGGTCTCACTCTTGCTCAGGCTGTTCTCGAACTCCTGACCTCAAGCGATCCTCAGCCTCCCAGAGTGCTAGGATTACAGGCGTGAGCCACTGCGCCCAGCCTCAACTTCTAGTTTAAGACAACATTCAATCATTCCCTGCACAGTTATTTATGGAGCACCTACTGTGTGTGCCAGGCCTGTTCTAGGCACCGAAGACATAGAACATAAGACACAGAGTCTGGCCTCGTGGAGCCCACATTCTGATTATTTTTATTTCATGGCCTTCCCGTGTGTTTGAAAGCTCACTCCAGATAACCACCTTTGCGGCAGCCCTTGCCACTTTGCCAAGACACCAGCTTGGTCATGGTGGAGGCTCAGGCCAATGTTTACGGAGGACTTTCCCAGAGCCGAGGTCTGTGCCGACTCTGGAAGGCTGCAGGGCAGGGTGCCAGGTGTGATGGGCCCCTAAGATGTGCTGGGGCACAAGATAGGCCCAGGGTGCAGGAAGCAGATACCAGAAGCCACACCCCAAAGCAAGGTCCATGGAAGTCAGAGAACTTGGCGTGTGCCTTCTGCAGATGTGAGGAACCGATAGCAGGAGGGAAACGTGCGCTCAGCCTGGACGTCCGCAGGTTCTGTCCTGTGGCTCCTCTGTGCTCGAGCAAGGCCCCGGAGGCCAGAAGTCTGAAGTCGAGGTGTCTGCAGAACTGTGCCCCCTTGGCAGGCTCCAGGGGAGGGTCCTTCCTGCCTCTTCCAGCTCAGGTGGTGGCCGCAATCCCTGGTGTTCCTGGGCTCGTGGCTGCATCACTCCAATCTCTGCCTCTGTCTTCACGTGGTCTGCGTGTTTCTGTGTCCGAATCTCACTCTCTTATAAGGACACCTGTCGTTGGATCAGGGCCCACTCCAATCCAGTATGAGCTCATCTTAATTGCATCTGCAATTAAGATGCAACCCTCTTTTCCAAACAAGGACACATTCGAGGGTACTGGGGTTAGACCTCGAGCATGTCTTTGTGGGGATGAGGGAATTTAGCCCATGACACTGTGTTATCGTTCTGGTCTCGGTTTGGGCATCCAGGAACCCTTGCCTGGTCCCTGGTTCGAGCCTGGCTGGACAAGAGACCCCCCCAACCCGGACACGACAGGCTCCATTCTCTCTTAACACGCTCCGCGCACTCAGGATCCATCTACTGAAGGCTTACTGGGCTCTGTCGCCCCTTTGGACTTCTATTCCACCAAAACGCGAACCTCTGCTAAAATAGGAGGAATAAAAGAGGAATTAAAAGATGCTCTCCATAGGTGGAACCAGAGAGAGGGAACAACTCGCCCAGCAGTTTGGAGATGAAGTGGAGACAATTGTGGCACTCGTCGTCTCAGACAGAACATTCAGGGGAGGGCTGAAAAACTCCGTAAATAAGATAAACCACAGTCTAAAGCAATTATTTTTGATTTTCAAAATGAAATTTATATTGCCAGCATTATGGAGTCTATGCAGTCATAAGAAATAACGCAAAGGCCGGGCTCCGTGGCTCACGCCTATAATCCCAGCACTCTGGGAGGCTGAGGCGGGCGGATTGTTTGAGCTCAAGAGTTCGAGACTACCCTGAGCAAGAGCAAGACCCGTCTCTACTAAACATAGAAAAAGTAACCAGGTGTGGTGGCGCCTGTAGTCCCAGCTACTTGGGAGGCTGTGTCAGGAGGATCGCTTAAGCCCAGGAGTTGGAGGCTGCAGTGAGCTGTGATGATGCCACTGCACTCTACCCAGGGTGACGAAGCAAGACTCTGTCTCAAAAACAAACAAACAAAAAAACCCAAAAAAAACACATGAATTGCTCTACTCTGTCCCCAGCACTGTTCTGGACTGTCTTTGTCCAGTAGCACTTTCCATGAAGACAGATATATTCTGTATTGTTACCATCCAATACGACAGCTACTGGCCAGGAATGTCTATAGAGCATTTGAAATATGGACAGTCCCACTCGGCAGCTGAATTCTTAATTTTTTTTAAAGTTAAACAATTTAAATGTAAATGGAAAGAAACTGATGCTCAATTCAGTTCTTGGAAAATTTTTAGACATGCTCGGAACACCTGGAACAGGTGAATCTACTCTTTCCAATCTGAAGTTTTATAAAATATAAACAGAGATCTAGTATCTCCAGTGAAAATTAGTACTGAAGTTGAGATGTGCTGTATGTGGCCAATGCACATGGGATTTTAAGAAAGAGTATGAGAAAAATAATATAAAATACCTCATTAATAATTGATTTTGATTACATATTGAAATAAAAATGTTTTGACAGATCAAGTTAATAAAATGTTATTAAAACTAATTTGACCAGTTTCTTTTTACATGTTGATTGATTGATGGATACATAATATTTGTTCATATTTATGGGGTACATGTGATATTTTGTTACACAAATATTTCGTACAATTGTGATGTATATGCAAAATATTTTGTACATTGTGATATATGTATAGAATATGTAATGATGAAGTCAGGGTGTTTTGGGTATCCATGATGTAGAGTTTTTATGATTTCTATACTTTTCCTTTTTTTAAAAATTGGATTTCTCTGCTCTAGATCCTACGGTGGTTGCAAAGCTCATTGAAATCATACAAATCTACCATACAATTCATTCACATAAATTGTATAATTCAATGGATTTTAGTATAGTCAGAGTTGTGCAACCATCACCACGTTAATTTTAGAATATTTTCATCACCCCAAAATAGAAAGCCCCTATCCCTCCCCTCATTCCCCGTCCTCTCCCCCAGGCCTGGCAACCACTAATCTTTCTTCTCTATGGCTTGGCCTATTCTGGACACGGTATATAAATGGAATCACACAATCTGTGGTCTTTCGTGTCTGGCTTCTTTCACCCAGCGCGATGTTTTCAAGGTTCGTGCACAGTGCAACGTGTGTCCGCGCCTCGGGCTTTTTTCTTGTGAAATAACATCCCATTGTATGAACGCACCACTATCCATTTGGGTGGTTGGCACTTTTTGGCTATGATGCACAGTGCCGCTATGAGCTTGGGTGTACAAGCTTTCGTGTGGATGTACGTGTTTATTTCTCTTGGGTAGGTACTTTGGAGTGCGGTTGCTGTGTCATATGGCAATACTATGTTTAACTTTTGGAGGAACTGCCAGCATGGTTTTCGCAGCAGCCACCAACAGTGTATGAGGGTTTTCGATACCTCCACGTCTTTGCCAACACTTTTCTTTCTCTTTTTCCTTTTTTTGTCTGTTCTGATGTGTTTTGTTTTGAATTGTAGCCACCCCAGTAGACGTGAACCGGTATCTCACTGTGGTTCTGATTTGCATTTCCTGAATGACTAATGACGTTGAGCATCTCTGCAAGAGGGTAGCGGCTATTTGCATATCTTTTTTAGAGAAACGTGTGTGTACAGAAGTTTTGCCCACTGTGTCCGTTTTGTCCCCTGCTGTATCCTTGGGGCCTCCAGGAGCACCTAGCAGGCGCACAATACGTGTTTGTTGAATGAATGAATGAATGAATGAATGACTGTCTCCGCTGTTAGGTTTGTATGTCCAGGACACGCCCCCGGTGTTGGGTCTTATTTGTGCCCATCACGCGCGTGTGTGCCTGGCTAAGGTTTCCCTTGTCGTGGGCCAGCCCTCGGGTGCCCGATTTGGCGACTGTCCCCAGTTAAGAACCACGCCCTCCCTCAAGCGGAACCACTTCCGCCTATTCCACGCAGCCTCAGTCCTCTTCCGGACGCGGTTGCCCTTGGCAACGCGTGGCGCTGCTCTTCCTGTATTGATTCGAATCGCTGGAGACGTCACCTCCTCCCGAGGTGCCCAACGCGCGCAGCCGCAGTCGCGCTGAGTGGGCGTGGCGTGGCGTGGGGGAGTCTGGGGCCAGGGGGCGTGACCGGGCGTGGCCGCGACACGCAAAGCGCCGACGTGGGGGCGTGGCCCGGCGGGCGGGCGCGGGGGCGCGCGCGCGGCCGACCGGGCGCGCGCGGTGGAGGGAGGGAGCCGGGAGGCCGCGGAGCAGCCAGCGCCGCCATATTAGGGACCGCGGAGCCCGGGATCCCGTCCGCGGCTGCCGCGGCCGGGCTTGGGGGAGTTTCGGGGGCCGGAGACGGGCGCAGCGCGGTGCCAGGAGAGGCGGGGCCGGAGGGAGCCAGCGGGCGACGAGAGCGAGCCAGGTGAGGCGGCCGGGGTCGGGGACCCGCCCCCTGGGCCCGAGGCAGCGGGGTCGACCGCAGACCCCCCAAAACCGGGCGAGGAGCCGGCCTGCGGCCCCGCCCAGCTCAGGCCCCTCCAGGAGCCCACAGCTCCTCTGAATGCCGTCCCCCGGGCCGAGCTAGGCCCCGGTGACCTCAGCATCCCCACCTCCCGTGTGAATCCCCAAATCTGAGCGTCCCACCATGTCAGGCCCTGTCTTGACTCCCCCAGCCCGAGCCACCTGCAAGCCGCGACCTCCCCCTGCAGTCGGCGTCCCCCATCCTCCTTAACCCAGCAGGATGAGCCCCGACCCCCCAAAGCCAGGGCGCCCTGGCCCGGCCCTCTGCCCAGCACGGCAGACCCACGTCCTCCTGACCCGGCTGTTTCTCTCTGGCCTGTCATCCCCGGGTCTTCCAAATTCGGGCCCTCCCCACATTTACATCGCCCCGATAGCTGAACCTGTTGTGACTCTCTTGCCCAGGCCCCAGCCTGCCTTTCACCCCAATAAAGTGCAGTCTGAGCCCTGCAGACCCGGAAACGAGGAGACTGGGAGGTCGGGACCCTGTGTGTCTAGGGTCACCATTGTATGCAACACCCAGTTCCGCTGCGGTTTGAATGCATACATGGCCCCGTCCCACCCGGAGCCCATGCATTCTGCTCCTCCACCCTCCCAGAGTGACCTCCGCTAGCCCCAATACTCCCCGAAACCCAGCTGTCCCATTTAAGGGGTGATGCCACCAAAACCTGAGACAGTCTGCCTGTGCCCAACTCTCCCATTCCCATCTGAACCGCCAGCCTGTGTATTCCCACAAACAGAAACTCGGCCACCTGGGATCCCCGAAATGTGTAGGGTATCCCAGTGGTCCACGCCCTCATCTTCCAGACCTGTCCCCACCTGAAAGCCTGAGACCCTGCTACGTGCAGATGTTTGTTCAGCCTAAACTTGTTTCTTTTCCTGTTTTCTCCACCCCAAACTCATCCCCGGGCTCAGGAAGCAGATCCCCTCATCCCTCCCCACTCCACTGGGCGATGACCTCATGCCTCCCCACGGTGAGGCCCCCCCCAACTTCTTATCACCTTCCAATGAAAAATCATCCACCCAGAGCACACACAGCCACCCCTGGGATGGGGACAGCCTGGAGGGACTTCGAAGTAGAGGAGGTTGGCTGGTCTCTCTTGAGGTGGGGGCCAGATTTGCATGCCGTGAAAGCAGGTGACATCCTCTGGGGATGGTCCTCAGAGTGGACGTATCTGAGGCTGTTTGTCATGCAGAATTTCTCGTGGCCTTCTGTGTCAAGGGCTCTGTCTGATTTGACAATACCAGATTGTCACTTCCTTTGGAATCCCAGAGTGGAAGCAGGTGTTCTGGCTGGTGCCTTTCGTAGCGAGTGACTTTGGATTACAGAGGGTTTTGTGACGTTGGGTTGCAGAGGGTTTTGCTAAGGATGCAGACTCGGCGCTCTCAGAGACGAGGGCCCTGGTCTCGGGAGACTCTCGCTGAGATGACAAATCCTTGCTTTGCCAGGTGGGGATGTCTCAGCAATGCTGGGCTGACCAGTTCTCTCCGGCGACTGTTTCCCAAGTAAAAGTTCAGAATTGGTGCCCTAGCTGGGAGTGGGGGTTGGGGGCTGCGGGGGGAGTACCTAGAAGCGAACAAAAAAGGCTGACAGGTCTTGGGAGGTGGGTCTCCGTGACTTTCAGACCCGTCCTCTAGTGCGGCAGGAAGCCCCTCACTGATGCTGGTTCTTGGGGCTTCTGGCCGGGTTGGGTTTTTATACTGGTGACTTCTGGGTTTGGGGAGATCCAGAATGGGGTTGGTTCTGGGGACCTTTTGCTCAGTGTCACTTAGAGGGACACCAAAGTCTTTCTGTTTGTAGGGCCAATCCCAGCGACTCCTGGCCAGGGTCAAGATCCAGGGACTTGGTCTTCTAGGAACTGGCCAAGCCACAGCACCCTGTAATTCCTTCTCCTGGAGCACAGGTCCTCGGCCGGGCCAGTTCTGTGCCCAGCAGACACTCGGCGGTGTCTGGGCCAGGGGTGCGGCTCAGCACCTCGTAGTGCCCAGTCCCACCGCAGAGAACCGTCCGTCCCCAGCGTCCTCAGCGCCGATGGGGACAGACGCTGCCTGTTCTCCACGTGTCCCCAGCACCGCACAGTGCCCCGGCAAGGCTGGAGCCCCCAGCGCTGGCTGAGGGGCGGGCAGATGGGTGGACTGAGGGCGCGTCGGGTGCCTCCTGGGAGCTGACACGGGACTGGGGCGCCCACCGGGCAGGGAATGGAGTATTTGGTCTCCCCTCTCTTCTGCCCTTGACAGCTCCCTCTGGGCACCAGTGACGTCCTACTTGTCACCACCACCTGTCACTGCCCTGCCCACACCTCACTTTCACCCCTGCAGAGCCGCCCCACCCTGCGTGTGTGCGTGTGGGGTCAGCAGGGCGCTGAGAACCGCCTCCTGGACGCCTGTGTGTGTCCAGCACGTGCTCTGGTGGCCACTGGGCTCAGCACAGACCCAGAGCCCTCGTGGGGCACTGCGGTTCTCATCCAGGGATGTTCGTGTCCTTGGCAGCCATTGGTCCCTGCATGCCTTGACAAGTAACTGCTTTCCCCTGCCTCAGTTTCCTCTTTGTGAATGGAATGAGACGCACTTTGCTTCGTGCCTGGCCTTGCTTCCTTTAGTCATTTGAGCGTCACGAGTCATCGGTGGCGCACGCTCCGCCCCGAGAAAAGCAGAATCTGCTGTCGTGGCCACTCGGTCAGCTGTTCCTTCAGTCTCCTGCACGGGACCTTCTTATTCTCTTTCATTTTTAAAACTTATTTAATTTTTTTTTTTTTGGTAACAGCTTTATCCAGATATAATTCTCCTATCACACAGCTCACCGAAAGTGTACAATTCCGTGGTATTTATATATTGACAGACTTGTGCAGCCGTCACCTTTAATTCTAGAACATTCTAATCATCCCAAAGAAACTCCACTCCCCATCGGCAGTCACCCGCATCCCCTCCCCAGCCCCTGGCGACCACGAATCCATGTCCCGTCTCTGTGGATCTGCCTGTTCTGGATGTTTCATATAAGTGGAGTCACATACCGTGTGTCCTTCTGTGTCTGGCGTCTCTCACTGAGCGCGATGTCCTCAAGGTCCGTCCACACTGTGGCCTGTGTCAGAGCCTTGTCCCTTTCGTGGCCGAGTGATACCCCACGTGTGGATGGAGCACTCTGTGTGTGTCCACTCACCTGTCCACGGACACTGTGCCGTTTCCAGCCTCTGCCTGTTGCGAGTAGAGCTGCCAGGAACAGTCAGGCACCGGTTGCTGTTGGGGGCCCTTTTTCTTGCTCTGTGACTTGGGCGCCAGCACCTCCCTCTCTGTGCCGCGCCCCTGGGCGGCCTGGCCCGCAGGTTCCTCACCTCTCACGTGCTCCTGAACTCCAGGCCCATGTGGCTAGTGGCCAGTTGCCGTTTCTCCTGGGTGTTCACAGGCCCGTCAGGTTGAGTGTGTCCTGAGGAGGTCACTCTGTCCTCAACCCTGCCCCTCCCCAGGACCTTTCCCCTCCCTGCCCCAGCCCTGTATTCAGGTACAAAAGTCTCATCCATCCTGCCTACCTGCGGCTCACGCTGGGCCCTCCGCTCCCTGTCTCCACCATGTCTTAGGACCTGGATGGGGCAGTCATTGTCCCCTAGTCCCTGCCACCCTGCCTGGCCTCCATACCACACCACAGTGAGTCATGTGTGCTGCCTGCCCTCTGGCCTGTGCACCTAGCCCTCTTTCCTGCCCCAGAGTGTCCCTTCCACCCTGACTGCTGCGCGGTTCTGGAAAGCGGCCGGCCTTTTTGCACACGCTCCTTTCCCTCGGGAATCTTCCTCCCCCAGATCAGATTTGGCCTGGGAACCACCGTGTTGAGACCCCTCAGTGAGGGTCTAGTGACTGCCAGGCCCGAAGGCTGCTGGGTGGGTGGGAGACGGCGGGCGGAGGGAGGACGGGTGCTGGCTGGCGGGGTCTGTCTGCTCTTGCTGGAGGGCTGGGGACGGGTCTGTTTGGCCGGGGGGGGGCGGTTGTTTTCTTGGGGTTTCCGGCAACCCGGGCTTGTTCCCCTGGGTTGACGCTGCCCCTCCGTGGGCACAGGACAGCGTCTGCGGACATCCATGGCTGTCACGACTGGGGAGGAGGGTGCTCCTGGCACGGAGGGGGTGGGGGTAGGGAGGCTGCTCAGCACCCTGCAGTGCCCAGGACAGTACCCCCACCACCGGCAGAGGGCAGTGGGGCCTGAGTGTCCACAGTGCCCGGGTTGAGGAGCGCCGCCCAAAACATGCTGCGTGAGGTTTCTCCTTCCGCCACCCCACCTGGACCACGGTGGGGACTGCGGCGAGACAGGGCAGGCACTTTCTGATGCTCACAGATGCCCCAGTGGGGACCATGGGGACCGGCTGCCCCAGGCGGGGTGAGCCCCCGTCCTGCAGGCCTGTGCAGAGACACGGAAGAGAGGGCCTCGGGAACCTCTCAGGGCTCGGTCCGATCCTCTTGCGCCCCGTCCAGCCTTGGGAGTCGGTGCTGTTCGGTGCGTGCTTCCTTCCCTCCTTCTGTTGCGTGGGGCGCGCGTGCTTTCGGGCTGCTGCAGACCCAGACGTCCTTTTGGTCTGAACCTCGCACCCAGTCCAGCAGGGTCGTGGGTGCTTGGCGGTGCCCAGAGGCCTCGGACAAGAAAGGTCAGGTCTTACCTTTGATGTCACTGGAAGGTGTGGAGCAGCAGCTCTTGCGGGGCAGGCAGGCGGTGGGAGGGCCGCTGGCCGTGAGCCCCCAGGGGTGGCCTGCGAGCCCCGTGGGGACCACAGCTCCAGCTCTGCTTAGCAGCGCCTGGGTCAGCTGCAACCCCGGCACAGGTCGGTGGGGAGGAGGCGTCCGCTGGCTGCGCGAGTGAACGAATAAATGAAAATGCGACGGGTGTGTTCCTGGGCCCAGGTGCCAGGCCTCCTTAGAAGTGACTGG